AGCCTGAAATATTCAGTTATCTCTCATCGTTGATTCAGAATCTGCAAAATTGGACAAGTAGATCAAATAACCTCTGAAACTTCATGAAAAGTCCCATCTTTGAGCACACATTAGCAAAAAAATTGATGATGCAGAAGTTAACTAGTGATATTTTCTAAACCATATGTAGTTGCATGTAAAATCTGAATAGTTGTGATTGAATGACTTCCAGGAAACACTTCATACTCTCTGTTGCACTGCACAGTTTTCATTTGTAGGAGGAAAGCCATTAGCTAGCCTTTAAACTTACTGTTTCATGCTCCCCTAGAACATGCATCTTATATCTGACAGGATTATGATTTATGATTATTTTTTTCTCGTATGTATTGTGCCTATGGCAGTTCAGCACACCATTTTAGTATGAATACTTAATATAAAAAACGGGATGGAAAATGGATTACAATACATCTGTAATACCAGAACTTAGATAAAAATGTAATTTTAAGAAATGCATACAATACTGTTTAGTGCCAAAAGCAGAATGTGTAACATTTCTGCTTTAAAATATCTAAAAACAACTCGGCCAGTGTTATATATTTCGTTTACTTGTGAACTTCCATTATCTGAAATGTTTCTGATAACGTTCAAACCCAGAGAAATCCATAGTTTTATTTATTGTGTGTTTAATTTTGGTAGCCTGTCAAAGGCATCATATCACCTTTACCATCAGTAGGTTGGGAAACCAGTAAACACACAGAAGAATAAACTATGAATTACTTCATTGGTAACACAAACTAGCCATGTTTTCTTCAAACAGTCTGTTTCACATGTTGACAAAGTGAACCTTGTTTAACTATACATGTAATTTCACTCATTGAAATAAAACAAAAACACATCCTTGATATTGCCCTCAACATGTCAAAACTCAGAGCATTTAAGACAGTCTTGGTTGAATCCGCAACGTTTCAACACAGCCGTTCTGTTGAGCGACCAGATATAAATTAAAGTCAGTGACGGCCTCTGAGATCTCTGTCTGTCTGTCCTTCTGAGTTAATGAAGAGCATAATAGGTTCCACTCTGCCTCGCAGACTGAGTGCCTGCTGAAAAAAAAATCATCACTATTTCTCTCCTCTGCCCCCATTCTTTCTCATCTCCTCTCTTCTGCTGGTACGTAGTGTAGGTTGAGAGCTGTTCTTTGGATAGCAGGAGCACATTAACTCCTTTCCCTACCATCTACAAATAACTGTAGTTGGACCCTGATTCATTTGGTAAAAGTGACTCTACCAGTAGGTTTTTTAAGTTGCGTTTGAGATTTGGTTTTTGTGATTTGCAGAGCATCAACTCTTAAAATGGGACTTAATCCACAACCTGCAGTGTTTGGGCATCAGCACCGGGCTGAGGTTAGACCATAGATCAAAGCAGAATAGGCTGATTCAGATAAGGGAAGGTGCAGGTGCTCTCGCTGGTTGTGCAAGTGTGAAGGATGTTGGATAGCAACAACTGCAGGGAAACCTACTTAAATGGATGCATACATCGTATAAGGCAGCAGTTATGAGTCTTTCTAAATCTGATCAAATTATCAGCTGAATACCAAACAGAAAAAAATAACTTGATAGTTACTGTGAAGATGTAAGTTGAAAAAATAAATTTGAAGCCAGGTGTTGTCATAAACATGTGAAAGTGTTTGTTGTATGTAAGCCATGTCACTATTATAGGTCAAACCAAACTTTAAATTCATATTTAGGCAACCTTAGAAGTAATAATCCTCAAGAGTTCAGTCTTGTGGTGAGGGCCTACAACTCACAATTATTTTCATCATACAGATTGTTCTCACAACTAATCTCTGCAAATAGTAAAAATTCATTTTACAGATTGGCAATATATTAGGAAAAGGTCATGAGAAAGTGTCCCAGACCTTTTTTTTTTTAAACTGTAAAAGGGTCCACTGTAAGCCAGTTACATGTTGAGAAAACAGATACTTTGATGTAATAAGGATATGAGTGAAATCAACTAAACAGACCACCTGGTCTCACATACTTTACACAGTTACCTTTTAAACTTCTACAAGTTACTGTTACTGTTTCAATCTTGTTTATTTATTTATTGTTATTGTATATCTTTCTAAAAGGCTTTGTGTTATCATTGTATGTGTGTGTCTGTGTGAGACAAGTGGTGTATCAGGTTCCGTCAAAGGTAAATGGCAGAAGCTAATTTGACAGTGAGGTCAGCAGAGCTGCTCATCTCTGATTTGTCTGAGAAAAAAACCTGTTTGCCCACAGACAGAGATGGAAATCTCACCTTTCCTGTTACTACTGTTGGTTGTTATTATATGGAACTGTTCCACAAAAAGCATTAAAAATTAACTGTTAATTCTCCAAGCCAACAAACTGTCCGTCACAACACAGTTTTTTTTTTTCTTTTCTTTTTCTTTTGGCTTTCTGTTGACTCTGTAAACCTATACCTCATTTGCATGATACCCAACAGCTGGCAAATGGACAGGGAAGCTACACCTGTCTGTCCACCTGTCCACCTATGGGTCTGTGTGTGTGTGTGTGTGTGTGTGTCTGTCTGTGTGTGTGTGTGTGTGTGTCTGTGTGTGTGTGTACACAAGACAGCTTTGCGTCTGCCCACCTGTTCAAATGTTGTTCTTGTGTTTGTGTTTGTCAGCCAAGACAATGATTATGTACCAAGGATACCATGAATTATTTGAATATGGTTTATGGATTCAAATATGGATTTGTTTGGTCTTTTGTTTTCTTAGTGTGGGATGAAGGGTTTGATGAGTAATACTAACTAAAGGTAATAGTGCTGTTTAGACTGAAGCAGTGCTCGCTTTCAGTACGTAGTATAACAGATATTAATCAAGTAATATTACCAAAACATTGCTGGTTACACCTTTTAAAAATGAAATGTGAACATGTGCCAACTTTTCCTTGTCTTTTAAATGGTAGGGGCTCTTTAACACTTTGCCAGATAAAATATGTAATTTGAAGACATTTGTTTAAATTTTTAAATTGTATCATAGTTCACTTCGTCACAGATAAATCAAAATACAGATAAATGAAAGCTTGTGGTTGTAGTGAATGATGTGATTGTTTTGACTTTGTTTTTTGTGTGTCCTGGTATGAAGGTCTGTGTTAAATGTGTCCCAACTGTGATGCAGTCTGCAGTACATGTTGAAGCATGTTTCATCAGATTTCAAATGTACAAGTTATCTAGAAAAGTAGTCGTTCAAAATGACTAAGTCATTTTTCAAACAGAAATAATACATATGCAGTAGTTCCAGCCTGTCAGATATGAAGATTTACTGCTTTCCTTTGTCTTTTATGATAGTAAACTGAATGTCTTTGTGCTTTGGATGACTGGTTGAACAAAACCAGTTAATAGTTTCATAATACTTTCGCCTTGGGCTGTTTGAAATTCTCACATATTTTTTACTTTCAGCTGCAGAAAGGCAACGGGAGTCATGACTGAATATGTATAGTCGCATCTTTTTGCATAGTGCTGCAGGTCATAGTACGATTTGTATTTCCTTTCAATCAGAGATGTCATTGTTTCCTTGGCTGATTTTTTTATTTTTTATTTTTTTCGATCAATCAATAATTCTGTGTCAAATAAACCCTCCAAATGCTCAGCACCAGTTGTCACATCCCAAAGTGATGTCTTTCTCATGTGACAGTTAATTCAGCAACCGTTTCAGCATTGCTTTAAAGTTGTCCATCCTCATGGGATGTCTGTTTCCTGCTACGCGAGGTCCACTATTGTTCTCTGTGAGTCACTCAGGAAGTCACCTGGAGAGGACACAACAGTTTGGACTGGAGTTGGGTTGTTATGATGAGCTCAATATTGTTGTAGAAATGCAAACATGAGGCCGCAACTCACATTAGCCTTTGTCAACATAGCAAAGTAATTGATTGTTCTCGAAAAATTCTGTGTTGTGTGCTTTGTAGTGCTGTGCTTACCGAGATGTTTCATCAAGGGAGATAATGGCGCTAGTAACACGCTGTGGTTTTTCTCATTTTATATATGTGACAACAAACCTGCAAGAGATAAAAACACTGAAACGATCTGTGGTTTATACTCCAAGATTATACAGCATGTTTAAAATACTGTGATGCATTGTTTATTTAATAATTAGTAACTGACTAAAATGTTTTTCTTGGCTGTACATAATGTAACCGAGGACAAAACATGACTTTCAGCATATCAGAAGCTGCCAGCACTGACCACATGTCTTGAAGTCAATGTCTAGTGGTTACCAGTGACATTGAAACTTTGTTCTTTACTGCTGTCTGTAGTGGAGGACAAATAAAAGCTAATGAGAAAGAAAGACAGGAGGAAGTGCAGTGCAGATACGCCAGAGAAATAAGGAAGTAAAAGGCCATACTGCATACTAATAGACAGAATTGCGCACTAATATAATATTTATTGTAATGGTGTATGGTCTGTACCGGTATTATAGAGTATTACATAGATTGTAACACAGAATGGGACCGGTATGTAAGATTTTATTGTTCCAAAGGTAGTATCTGTGTGTATATAGTGTTGCCTCTTGTATTCCTTTCTTTCTTTATTATTGTCTTTACATCATCTTTTTCTCTTTTTGCGTTTTACCTGTTTGTATTTTCGGTATACTGTCAGTATAACGTATGTTCTGTGGCCAACAAAAAGGCTTGAGCAAAAAATAACTTAAACATCAATGCATGCTGGCAGCTGTGTTTCTACGAGTACTGTAAACCTGTATTTGGCTTATGGACAGCAACTATAAAATAACCTGAGTCAGAGTCTATTTGACGGACATAGACAATAAGTCAATTGAAGTCTATTTATGACCCTCTTACTCTGGCTGCTAGTAGGATTTTCAGTGTCTGAAGAAGATGGCAGACAGATAGTGGACTGGCTGCTGGCCAGTAATCTGTTACCTCCATCTCCACTTATTGTCTCCTTGCTGGCTGCTGTGTGTTTGCTGTGTTTGATTATAGTTTGTTGACATTGTTGTGCTTGCTCTTTGTTCTCTCCAGCTGGATGGGGACACCATGTTCCTGGGTATGCCAGAAGCAGGCCTTGACTTCGCTTCAACCAGTCAGGTTAGTGTTTATGAGGTTGTGTGGATGTGTGTGTGGGTTTCTTTGTGTGTTTGAGACACAGTGTACCCTGTGAAGTTGTTTCTTTGACATTTCCTCGGTTCAGATTACATTGAACTATCTTCTGAATTACTTGTGAAAGTGTTTCAGCAGTAACCTTGGATGTTCTGTCTCATTTAGTAATACGTAGCCCAAATGTGAAGCCCTACACTATATGTAAGGACGGATGGACTGACAGCCCCTCAGAAATTACGCCCTGGTGGCTTCTTTTTTTATTTATTTTTTCTTTTGTAGCTGTAGCTTTTTTGTCGCATTTGAGCTGGAATCTGCGCAATAGTGACTATTGTGAGCATAGACCAAAAGTAATACCATATTTTGCAGTAATAAAGTGATGTATGTCTGCAGCAAAATGTATTGAGCAAAGTAACAAGAGGCAAAGAAACAAATAGCAATGAAAACACTACTTCCATTGTGGTGGTAAAAAGCAGCTGATATGGAGTTAGCTAGAACACTATCAGCTACTAATCGTTTTTATCCCAAAAATGATAAGCAAGTGGCCACAACTGTACAAGACGGTCAGGATTGTGACAGCTGGCCTACGCAAAGGTTGAGGTAGGCATGGCCAGCTCCAAGTTTATTTGCCTGCAATTCAATCCAAGACATGTGCTATTTCGTATCTGCCAATACTGAGTCTCGATCTGATACCACTGTCCTAAATAATACACAATTAAAAATATTGTGGATTAGCTTTAATACCTTGTTGTACCGTTAGGTGGAGCCTCTTATTATTAAATACTGTAACAACCAGTAGATGCAAACACTTCTGTGCTGGCAAGCAGAGAGCATTGTGGGGGTTTAGATAGACAAGGGGCACCATGAAAAAGTCGATGCTTAATGACCTCAGGCCAGTGCAGAAGGTGGGACCTTAACATCACATCACCACCTCTGGTACTGCATAGACTGTGATTATGAATGGCAGCAGACATTTCTGCACATTTTTGGCATTTAATTTTTGGATCCACTTTTGTGCAATGCGAGGAAGCGATGACACACATTTACATATGTTTGAAACAGTCTTTGCCAACATAACCAAACATATGGCAGGTGTGCACAAAATGTGCAATGAGTGGCTTAATTTGATTATAAATTATGCATGTAAAAAGTTTTTATGTTCTATAATTTACTACTTTTCCTTCTTGGTTTCGTTAAAGGCATGTAAATGAGTCAGAATGTGCAAATTCATGAGTGCATGTGTTGCAATTCAGCTGGAGCAGAAGAGAGGCAAACTGAACCACAGTGAGGGACTGGTTGGGTATTAATTACTGCAGGACTCTGACAACCAAAGAGACAAACCATGTTGTATCACTTGTCAATAGAAAGTTAAAAATGATAACTACCTGTAATTCCAAAATCATAGACGTCAGAGTCTTGCGTTGTGTTTATTAAAACTCTGGTCAAGAGCCCTGCTTATCTGGGCTAGGCAGCTGCACTTCCATGATTCCACATATTCAAGTTGGTTCACGTTGTCATACATTAATGATGTTATGTAGCATCAGATTTTTGTTAATAATCATTTGATCGTGCCCTGTTGTGTCTTTGAGCTCACCTTTGGCTATTTCAGTCGTTTCAGTTATTTCCAGTTAGATCAAACAAACTTCCTCCCCATCCTGTTGTACAAATCAATATCACTTACTGCACCCAACCCGAGGCACCTAAAGCATTAAAATGAATTTCTATCTCTAAGCTCTCTCTTTTCTTATACAAACAGGGAGCTCTAGAAGTACTTTGTGTGATTGTTGAGCACTACTGTATGTGCGAATACAATACACAGACTATAAAAGGAGCTCCTTTAGGCTACATAAAATTAATATCCTCTAGAAACTAATGTTTCTCGCAATCAATTATTTACTTCTAAAGCATAGATGAAATTACTCGTGTCTGTCATTTGGTAGCACATAATCATTTGATTTACTTAAATATTCACCTCATGAACTATTGTTGTCATTCCATTTTTGAGAATGCCACTTACACTAAATAGTCTAACGTCATGATCACATTTTGCATTTGAGATGAAGTGTTTAGTCAATTTATCAAGTAGTCACACTACAGAAAAATGCATGGCAACTATTTCAGTAATTGATGAACCTTTAATTCGTCTTTCCAGCAAAAATACTGGCCTAGTGTTCGGTATAGGCACTGCTTTTAAAATGTACAGATTGTTTTCTTTGTCTTTTATGATGATTAACTGAAAATCATTGAGGTTTGGACAGCTGGTTTAACAAAAGAATTTGAAGTCATTTTTAGATATGGCAAATAATAACTGGCTTTTCTTGACATTTTGTAACTAATTAATTTTAAAAAATTATTTACAGATTTAATGATCATCAAAATAATCGTTATTTGCTTCCCTGGATTGTGTTTCAGTTCAATATAAAATACATGGTAATGGACTGGTCATGGGAGATGGATGGAAATTTCCATGAGAGAACATTGCAGTCAATGCATAAAGTGAGATCTAGGTTTAAGAGTAGTTGACGGTGTATGAACAGCTGCCCTGTTATGTCACCTCAGTGCAATGACCAACATAGTAAAGATCAGCTGTTATTAGATTACTTAGCAACAGCCCTGGAACAGCACTATGCAGCAAACACTGTTTTTATATGGCTGTGGGTGTAACTGCATTCAGAATGTAGTTTCCAGGGGCCTAGGAAAGCCTCTAGAGAGTAAGATGTATTTGTTAGCACAGAGTTACCTCAGCACCAAGCAAAGCCCATATTAATAAGATGCACTACTATACATTATTCATAGAGTACAATATAGAGAATATTGTGTGGTAAAGAAATGTATGATTTGATGTTTTATTCATAGTGTTGTGCCCTAAGAAGATGGGGAGTGGTGTGTGGAATTAGAATTTATGGCTTTATTATTGAAGCACCATGGCTTCCATAAAGTCAGAGGTTGTTGTGATGAATGTGACCAATTTCAGTCCAGTCTGACCCTCATCCTTGTCATTTTTTGAATTGTTAACAGTAACAGTGATGTTGCTGTGTTTAAAAAAAAAAAAAAGACAGAATGGCAATCACTACTTTGTGAGGCAGAAAGGTTCAGTGGAGTAATACCTGTGCAGGTTTGTAGTTTAAAAGTCTGGAGACCTGGTTTCACAGCCACATCAGACAGTGTGCTCCTGTGTTAAGTCGGCATGGTGTGCTGTGGAAAATCCTTTTCCCCTTACAGACAGACTGTGGGACTCTCCAGTGAAAACACTGAAACACTACAAAATACGTTCTTTAATACTCACACTGTAAGTTTTAAACTGAATGGTTGCTTATTTAAAATCAGTGATTGACAAATGTGATACTCCATGTTGTACAATTCTGATTATTTTAACATTCAGGCTTGTACAAAACTTAATTCAAACAGCTTCTATGCTCACATCAGATGGTTCAGTTGGTCACAACTTGGGGACCAACACTGAGTTCATACATTGAACTCCTGACTTTGCCAATGGATAATTCCACAAAAATTTTATTGAAACAAAATGGCCTGATTAAATAATAAATAAATAAAAATATGCTGATAGTAAAGAGTGACCATGCTAGTGGTTCTGTGGTGCTACACTTTGAGACAGCGGTGCATTGGTTTAAATTCTAATGTTGATAACAATGCCACCTTCACTAGACAAAGGAAATGTTGGAGCATCACTCAGATTCTTCATGTGGGAATCAAAATGTCTGCATTATCCGGAAATAAACAAGCACCAACAAGAAAATCAGTATCTTTCTCTGATTTAGAAGATCTTTATCACTTGTTTAAGCTGTGGAATAAAGTGGACAACAGTAAGTTGTGGTTTTATTGGGAATCACCAGCTGGACTATTTCTTGGAAGAGAACAGTGATTTCCTGGAACCTCCCCTGGTTGCCAGGACAGAAACAGACTTGCTGTTTCTCCCTGTTTCCAGTCTTTATGCTTAACTAATCAGCTGCTGGCTCCAGGCCTGTCATGTTGCTATCGACTTGTCTTGTGTTGTGTTAACATGCATGTTTTTTTTTTTTTTTTACTTAATATTGTGACCATTTTAGCCACCATGATGCCCCATTAAACAATAGGTCTGTGTAGATGCTCTGTCACCCAGGTTGTGGTAATACTAGGAGATTCAATAGGCAGCAAAAGGACTTCTTGCTTAGGTTTTTAAACGTCTTCAAAATTCTAAAAACAGAAGTCCTGTTGCGTTCTGTTAAAGCTCCAAGGAATAATTGAGAGGGACTTGTACTTTAGCAACGATAATATTTGGAAACAGCGCTTAAGTGTTTTTTCACAGCACCAAAACAAAGTGAGCAGAGAAAAAATATACTGAGACACATTTAGCCGTCACCGTGGGCAGGGCTCAGACAGCTCCTCCATAAACAAACACACAGAGCAACCAGGTGATGTGAAGATAACGTGTTACCTAATGGTAATAGGTGTTACAGCTAATATGTTGTAACTTTGCACTCTTTGTTTGCAAATGTTCTCATTAGTGAGAAACTGTCTCGGCAGTTCCAGAATAAATATTGCTGTATACCTCTGTGCCAAATGTTTCGTATTTATTTTGGTGCAGTTTTTGTAACCACAGCCAAAGAGGCTGTTTTAGTTGTGTGGCTTTATTTTACTTGTGTTTCATTTACTTTAGATATTTGAATGTATTTTTTTCACACTCTGATTTCAGTGTCTGAATATTCTCAAGAATTAAAAGTTCATTGCGCTTTGGAAAGCTGCATTTGAATTCTTATGTCATTCAATTATATTCGTGGCCAAAAAATGTCTTAAAATTGTGTATTCCAATGGTTTCTAGGATAATATATTTTCCAACAGAAGTAGTTGTCATTACAGAGCTGTCTGGCTTCAGCTTTATATTTACAGACAGATATGTGAGAGTTATCCGTGTTCTTGTTTAACTCTCATTAAGGAAGCATACACAACTCCACCTTAAAATGTCAGGCTGTTTCCTTAAATGAGTATAATGTCTGGCCAGATTTATAGAGCCACTCAGTGCCTGTGGTGGCTGCCAGGTGTGAAAGAAATGAATAAAAGTGCAGCATGATGGTGTTAAGAAAGAACATGGCGATCGCTGCACTTACTCATTAGTCTTGCTCAAACTGACTGGGCTGTTTGTGGCAGCGTGTCAATGTTTTTATATGTTTGTCTTTCTTTCCTCATTGCAGCTGTCCAGCGCTCAATGTAACCTTTTCTTATCAGGGATTAGCTGCGAAGGAAACGAACAAGCAATTTATTTACAGCCCCTCTCTCTCTCTGTCTTTCTCTAAATAGCACTCTGGCTCCTATTTTATTTCTCTCTCCTTTTTTTCTTCTCTCACCTCAGTTAAGTTGTGGCTGTTGGTGTTGAAGTAAGAGCTATATAACCCATCCATAAAGATAAAACTTCACTTTGACCTGTGTGTGGTAGACTGTGTCTCTCTGTGTGAGTGAAGCCTTGTGGAGAAATTCCCTCTCCTACTCTCTTTCCTTCGTGCCCTCTTGCTTTGTCCTTGCTCCTCTTCCTGACCTTTTTATTTGACCTTTGACTTCTTCGTGGCCTCTGGGCCAATTTGAATCTCTGTTTGTCTTTGTGATTCTTCCCACAGTTTCGTGTGCCACAGCCCCCTCACCCTCTCAGCAAGGTGACGCCACCCAACCCACCCTCACAGCACTGGAGGAGGGACGCACACATGGCCGACACACACCGCCTGCCCTGGGTGAATACACACACACACACACACACACACACACACACACACACACACAACCAGGCTTCCAAATGATTTTATCACAATTCATGCATTTTCACAAATGATCTCCACTCATTCCAGTGCAGCAGTCTCAACAGCAGCTATAGACCTGCAGCTCCAGTAAAAACAGCACCACCTATAGGAAAGGAAAGTTTTAGACATGCACACCGTTTTGTTAATCAGACAACAACTGAATGTGTCGGCCAATGTCTGAATGAGCACCCTGGTCACGTTTGCACAAAAGTCTTCAGTTTTACAGGTCAGACCCAGTAACGTTTACTTATCACAGCACTTAACACAACACAAGTCTGAACTGCATACAGTCACAATAAGGGCGTTTCAAATTGTGTAAAGTGATTTGGAAAATGTTTTCGTCACAATGTAGCATCAATATACATTACAGAGAGTGCAAAAGACAGTTTGTGATCCAAAATCATGGAAATATTTTTTATTTTACTTCAACAGAAGTGTGACCAAGGCGCTCATTCAGTCATCAAGTCGACACTTTCAGAATCTGTCAGATTCATAGAAAACACTGCATGTCTGAAAGCCACTTATGTTTGCATCTGCAGTTCTGCTGCCTCTTGTGGAACATCTCTGAGTACATTTGCGAGGGTGGTACGAGCTAGTTCCGTGAGTTTGTACACGTCTGCAAAGTGACGTCTGTTGTTGTTATACCATGAACCTGTACACAGCTATCAAACAGCTGCCATTCACATTAGATATGTGCTGCGCTGCTTGATCACCAAAATACTAAATGGGTGCGTTAGCGCCAAAAAATCTCTGTACATCTCTTCTAAACGCTATTTTGCTTTGATGTGCTGTCATGACAATTGAGCCCTGTATCATATGAAAGAGGTTTGTTGTTTATTATTAGAAGCTTTGACCTTGACCTACGGTTTTGCCTCTCTTTCATGTACACAACAAACACTGGATTGAAAAAGCTTTAGAGCTTTGTTTTTCATCGTCAGTTTACTGTTTGTTACATTTTATTTTAAGATTTATATTTTCAAGTGAATTCATGTAAAAACTCATCAGCACAACACATTTCTGTTTTTTCTACATGGTGTCTGGATTGATTTGTCTAATGCAGGATGGAAACTTTCAAGTATCAGTGAATTACATATTCTCTGTGTGAGTAGGTGATATGTGGGGGTACGAGGATGGTTGGAGGGAATCTCCCGACTCTGATCCACACTTACATACACGCACATACTCTCACATCTATGGACGTGTTTTCACACAATCTTGCATGCAATTAAGAAAATCTTTTGCAGTTTTTTTTCCCTCTCTTTTTTTGTCTATGTCTGTCTCTTTGTCTCCAACACAAGCATGCACCATCTTTCTAGACATTACAAGGAGAGAAAACAGACAGAGAGGCACTCATAAAACACATACTGTACCTTCTGTGTGAGTGTGTGTTTAAATGTTGACCTTTTACAGTAATTTGTGTCATACTCTTCAGGGTAATTAACGCAGTCCATTTAAAATGTCAGTTACCTGGAAGAGGAACCATACTTACAAATAGGGAAAGAAGATTTGCAACACAGTGTTGAAGTGGACCAGTTTTACTCAGTATCACTCAGGTTAACTCAGTCTAACAAGCACATATGCACACAGCTTGTAGGGTAAAAGGCCTAGATTTTCCAAAATATATGATTGTACAAATAAAATGGAATTGTGCATGCAGGTAAGAAATTGTGTTTAAAGAGTAACTTAAATTATGCACATAAATATCCTCACAAAATGCACCATTTTATAAAATACAGACAGAAATATTTAGATTTTGGACAATTCTGAGTGAGTCTACTTTAATGACCATTAGTGCCTTTCATCAGTCAGATACCCATAACGTATACATTTAGTCTTCTGTAAGAGATGGCCGTAGTCACACATTACTCATCTTTTTCATATTGTATGAAATGAACATGGAGTTTTGCATTTGTAATGTGAACACAACATGTGTGAAAGGACTTAATCCTGAGTCTTTCTCGAAGCTCCCAGTGCACAAGGAACTGGCTATTGTACTGAGATGAATGGAAGAGCAGAGAGAGAGAGAGAGGAGTAATTTATGCAGAAGTTGAAGAAATGATAGAGTGGGAGAGGGAGGGAGAGTGAAAGAGAGGCAGACAGACAACAGACAGGCAGAATAATTTATGCAGAGCTCTGAGCTCCAGCAGGACACTGTTTCTAAGAGTGAGACCATGAAGCAGACTGCTGGACATGTTGGTTTGTCAGGACCTGATAAACACAGTGCAGTAAGAACGATTTTGGTTACACGCGACAAGACGTCCAGGCTCAGAAACGCATCGAGTTGGTCAAACTTCCTTGCAGAAAGCATTTTGCGTTGCAGATTAAACAATAAAATCTAAATTAAACCTACTCACAAAGCGTGTGCATGATGAACATTTTGATGGACGTGCACTGACACACTGGCTGGCTGCCACCTCATGTGCGTGTCTGTAAGAAACTGGTGAAACAAAATACACATTGTGATGACATAGCTGCTCCATTTACACCTGACATTTTGTGATGTGCACTACAATGTAGTCATAATACATTTGTGCCATTTGAATAGCACTTGGCCATAATCACAGGCCTGCTCAGCCATCTCTGGTTGAAACTTTTTATCATAAACTATGAATGTATAGAATGGCATCTGTGTAATTTTAGATTTATGTATCAGGTACTCTCCAGATTATTTAATTTTTTTAAAAAAATGCCCTCAACCAACTTCCTGCACATTTTTTGACACATTGAAATTGAAGGATGTTTGGGTGACAATATCTCTGGAACTGTTAAATATAAAAGCCTGACGTTTTCAGTGTTATCTCTCATCATGTCATTGATCTTGAATCCGCTATCTTGAACAAGTAAATCAAAATAAATTTATTATATGAGTGAGTTGAAATATGAAAAAAATACATCAAGCTGTCATAAAATCTTTGAGCACACATTAACAAAAAAATTATAATGCAGAAGTCAAGTAGTGATATTTTTCTGAATCATGTGTAGTTGCATGTCACACTAATCGAAAACGAAGTGGATAGAATAATTTAAATATGAAATCACAAACGTAAAAAAAAATTGGTTATTGAACTCTCATAACCAGTTGAGCAGGTTAGACAAGCTGTGCCATGTGCCATTACTCTGACAATGTTGTTCAAACACAGTCGCCTATTTTAGTGTCCAAAAAATGTGCTAAAAGTTGGTCAACGGGTAGTTTCTTTAAATGTGAAAAAAGTATTTAATATACCAAGCCAAAATTGTACAAATATCTTTATAAATATCCAAATTTTATGCTATAAAATTTTCAGGCAAATCAGAGACGGTCGAGCAGAAATAGTTCTAAAAATTTGATGACCTGAGATGGACTGACCCGAATATAAGTGCATCAAAGACACATTAAAAAAGGTTTTTCAGTCTGATTACAGAACTGCTAGTCCAGAATATCTACTAGATCACAATCCTCATAAGGATATACCATCTGAATGCTAAAGATGACAGTTAAGATTCACTATAGTGAGTCTATACAGTATATATACAAGCTGGGAAGCACTGAATACGTTGCAATCATTTAGTTTCACTTGCTGCAGAAGCACTTTGGATGAGGACAACAGTGAAAATGCATGACGCATCTTTTAAATTAGAAACTAAAGTTAAATGTCTATAACCAGTGTCTGCTGTTGATCTCTTAACTATAATTAAAGGGGAACAACACTGTTGTTACTTGTCAAAGTTAATTTGATAGTCTCAGAGAACACAAAAGATGCTTTTGAGCTGCTTGTAGGAAGTGAAGACTCCAGTGTTTTTGGAGCTGACCTATATTAGAGACTAAAATTCAGGACATTTTCCGTGGCTTTTAGAGGTTAAATAATAAATGGCTGGACTCGTCCTTCAACATCTTAGTTCTCTTTGGTTGTGATTCGTTGTAGGATTGTGTGTACCTAAAAAAGGCCATCGTTATTCAGCACTTTTCTTATTTCCAACAAATCTCACAAAAAAATGCTCCAGGCCCTTTGGTTCCTATGCAAGACATAAATCTTTTAAAATGGCTCTCTGTAAGGCTCAGTAATTTCCTAAAACAGCTGGCCACTGGTTTGTTTTACTCCTATATATAGGTACCATTTGTGGAACGCTAAGTGGCATTTGTTGGGGACCATTATGAGCCACAGATGAATATAATTTTAGTTGGTTCTCGAACATTTACAGCAACAAGATTGTGTACGTGGAGTTAAATCAAAATAAATGCCAGAAATTGAAAAGCGTCACTGCACAATCATACATTCTTCAAACCATCTGCAACATTTTGAATGAGATTTCAAAAGTGCAATTTCCTTTTGGGATTAATAAAATACTCTTTCTATTTTTCCGTGTATTTTTCTTCCACCATGTACCATGTACTTTGCCTGAAATCATTGCATTTGTACTCTTCAAAATGTGCACTGGTATCATAAAATATGCCGCTGGCACCTCAAACTTTGCTATTCATTTAAGAAAGCAATGTGTGCTCAGACTGCAAAGTTTCCAAAAGGAGCAGCCAATACGAGGCGAGCGATGCTAGCCGTTCCTTTAGGATATGAGAATTTGTATTAGTGAAACACAAAGTAGCACACATCCTGTCTACGTGTACTGTCGCTTTTGGTCTCCTTCCCGGGGATGCCCACAAAATTATAGAACGTCTGAAGGTGGGAAAATTTTCCAGTTTGCCCTCAATTATAATTAGATCCCAGTAAATGAACAAACGAAAAGTGGGGTAACGGAAGAGTTTACAGTCAGTGGTTGATAATTTTACGTATTTCTTATTGCACATTTCATTTTTCTGTTTCCCACATTTTATTTTAAACTCTGAGCTCAAACTGCGGTTCACCACACCGGCTTGCGAATTACATAGTGAATGTACTATATATATACATGTATATACATAACTCAACCCCCTAACTCATCACTGAGCTCACAAGTCATGCAACTTATAACTTGCCACTGCATGTGGGTTTGAGATACAGCAGAAAAGAGTGAGAGAGAATGAAAGAGTGCGAGATGAAAGAGAAATCGAGGATGAGATTAGGAGAGAGCTACAGAGAGGGGTGGAAGGAGAAGGATGGTAAGAGATGAAGAGCAAAAGAGTACGAGATGGAGAGACTGGTGTGGCTAGCCAAGCAGAAAAGGCTGTCAGTCTCTATAAAAGATCTCCTCTGTCAGATTAGTATTAGAGGGCTTCTCTAACACTGCCTCTCTCTCTCTCCTTTCACTCTTGTGTCTCTCACTCTTCTCTTGCATGATTCTCTCACTCCATTTCCCTCCTCATGTCTCCCTCTCATGTGTCTTTGCTCTCAGAATAATTCGTTATCATATACGGAGCTGCTCCCGGTTTTTCTTTTTGCATGTCAGATTAGCGCTGATGTATTTTTACACACAAAGATCTGCCTGTGTCTATTCTCTCAAGCAAAATGGGCTCGTACATATAAATTACTGTATTGTTCTGCTGCTGAATGAGCGACTATTTGTTCTCAAGGCTTTCTTTCAAGACTGGGAATATCATTAGTGATAATTAGTCTGTGATAGGAGCTCTGGCTGAGGAAGAATGACTACATGACACAACACAGAGCTTTAGTTCAGACTGGATTCAGCACTCTGAGGTAACGATGATGGGTGGTTTTTCTACTCTGCTCCATCTATTAACGCTGACAGTAATGTTTCATGACACTTGGGTCTCTTATAGTCCCCTATGCAATTCCTATTGATTTTTTTTCCCAAGTTGTCGCTCTGCTGTAGGCAACATTGCCCATCCACCCAAGCTCTAAGTGTTGCCCATCATGATATGTCAGCGTCCCCCAACTTGACTTTGTCCCACATCAGTGAAGTGTCACGAAGGCAAACTGCACTGTGTGCTTGGTTTTGCATATCATGATTAAAAATGCACTAATGGAAGATAACGTCCAGTTTAACAGGTGGCTCTAACTTTGTTTTTTTCGTTTTTGACTGCAGTCATACCAAGTGGGTGGTTTGGGCGACGACGACTTCAACATCCCACCCATCACGCCCCCGACCCTGCCAGACCACATGTTGCCCCAGCGCCTCCCCCATGACTCCTCTTCTGGACCGTACCACCCTATGGACCCCCCCTCCAGCTCAGCTCCGCACCACCCCTACCAGCTGCAGGGCATGGATCTGCCCGGCATGGCCGGTGGCCAGGATGGAGGCGCGATGTTGAGCCAAGATGGTGGCACGTTCAGCCCGGACGGAGGCCCAATGACCAGCACTCTATCTGTGGTGAGTGGATCCAAATAATCCACATAGTGTGTATACCTGGCATGTATGTATCAGGAATAAGCAGCAGGGAAGATGGAGGGAGTAAATGTAAAAGTTGGATTCATACAGATGACTAGAAGTGCACCAGTTGATTACATAAAATTAACTTGTGATAGTTAATCATATTTACAGCTTCATTATTATTGTATTTGCGGTTTGTTTCCCCTTTATTTGATATTTACAGTGGAAGGAGACTAGAAACACAGGGAAAGCGAGCAGGAGAATGGCATGCAGTAAAGCCGGGAATTGAACTGGACTCACTGCTTGAAGCCATTTACGCCCACGTGGTGTTCACTCTAACCCCACAGCTAAAGAGTCACCCCGAAAATATGACCTTTACTGCGCTAAACCACTACAAATGAGTACATACAGCATCATGGAACATTTTTAAAACTCTGAGCAATCACACGTGTTTTCAGTCACTACTGTTGAGTAGCTGAGGGTTGCAGTTTAACACGGATGTGCGTCCCGTGAGCCTCCAGTCTCCACATACTGAAACTGAATGATGAGTTAAATGTGTTTTTAAACACTTTTTCATCAGTGGTAATCATGCTTCTTTAAGGGGTCAGTCCCATTTAGTTTAAAGTGCAAAATAGCTGTTTTAACGGTTTGTCTGATATAAATGGAAAGAGGAGCATCTGATGTGACTTTAGCTCCAATAGAAACTTCATGACGACATTTTGAACCTGAGAAAATGTAAAAAGGCAGAAATGTTGAAAAAAATGTTTAGTTTTTAAAAATTATTTTACTTTTTTCTAGACTATATCAATCAGTATTTACTAAAATCAGACCAATCTTTTATATTTTTTTTTTAAAAATTCATCAGATTTTTGATTTTGTTTTACGTTTTAGTTGTTAGATGGCAGTTTTCTGAAGATAAAACTGTAATTCTGAGCCTTTCGTTAAAGGCGGAGCAGCTTCTTCATGGATTTAACATGTCGGTTCTTACTTTTTGGAAAAATTAACGTCCTTTTTCATTCAGTTTTGTCCGACTGTCATCAAATGTTCATTGAGGCTGTGAGCTGAGTTGTATCTGGTAGCTCTTGCTGATCTCTGAAGTGACACGCAGTCTTTCTTGGGTTTACTCACTGTTATGCGGTATGCTGGTCTTTCTGCATCTGCATTTTCTGTTCTCAGTCATTTTTTGTTCTTTAGACTATTTCTAGTTGTGGAGGATGGAAGATTTAGTTTTGTGCTGACCTCAATAAGGAGCAAAACACTGACGCTTGACCTTTTTTGTGAAGGTAAATCACTCACGTGGGAACCCGTAGCTCTTTCCACTAAGTTTGACAGTCAGAACTGAAAGGTATTTTTTTGTTTCCATTTGGAGGGTTTATGCTTCATACAAGTGTCCACGTAATTTATTTATTTTAAAAGAAAAAGTTGTTGAGTTGCATTAAATGTGTTTTCTATAAATCAGACACCAGTTTGTCGAACATTTAATGAAATAATCTCATGGAAGTTTACTGATGCTGGAGTCTTGACTGCCCAAATCAGATTTGGAGCCACCGTAGCTCTGAGCTGCTGCCAGCATCGGTGCATTTAGCCACATTTTGTTAAAACTCTGATCATCTGGAACCTAATGTGCACACAGATGGACAGAATTATGCTTTAGTGCATTATGTTGTAGGAGTGGATTGGGACATTTTACTGAAGGAAAACCTTTTAGCATTGAAGTCTTTGAAACTGCGGTGAAGTCTAGCTGAGCAGCAGCTGCTCCCCAACAGTGAGGAAACGACACACTGATTTGTGTTTGATACTAAAAAGACGCACTTCAGGGTGGACTCTCAATTTGTGTCTCGCTCAAATGTACTTTGACTTTACTTATTAGAAGGAAATTGAGAATCTCAGCGAGTCTTCAGATTTGAACTGACTGCCAGCGGATATATTTTAACTGTATTCTTTCATTTTTTATTCAGTTTAACTGTGTGAAATAGGATTTTGCCCAGGGCAGTGTTATTTGAAGGCCAGTCATGGCAGCTGGTCGATCTGACATTTGCTTCATATTTTAAGTCTTCATTTCACAGTAAAGTGAAAATCTTGCTTTTAGCTGTGACATTCAGATGTGGCTGACTGTGTCATACAGTAAAGAAATGAAAGCTACACCCGAGACTTGTAGTTACTTCAACTGCCATAGAAACTGGCTGTTCAGAGTGCTGCCAGAAGTGTATAAGTGTCAGTATCTGTTACAAAGATTGCTCTCATTTTTATTAAGAATGAAACTTTCTCACCTCCCACTCTTGATCTTTCAGTCTTTCTGCCCGTTGTCTCCATCTCCATATTGAATGTGCCGGCTGTAATATTAAGTGTCAGTTTGAAACGACATGAGAAGCTTTGAACCGTGGCTTTAGCTAAATTAGAATGACTGTTAAACACCAAAACATAGAGTGTTCTCTAATAACTTTTAATTAAATTCAGACTTTTTTTCTCTTCTCTTTGGTTGTGATTAACCTGTTAACTGTACAACAATGGAGATAATTATTTTAGTGGCCTCAAGGGAAGGTCTTATTTTTCCATCTCTGTCTGTTTCAGTCCTACTTTTTCTCTCTCTCTCCTTTTCTCGACCTTACTTTTATATTTTCATACTAACATACATTTACTGCCAGTCCATGAATTATGGTTGCCTAGCAACCGTTCTCGGCTCAGCCTAATCGGGGTGGGTTGGTGGAGGGTGGTGGGGGTGTAAGACTCAAGTCAATGTGTGTGTGTATTATTCCTAGAGGAGGCAAGACTACTCAGTTGCAGTTAATATTGAGATGTGGACTGCTCTGTTTTTATATTTGGTTACCATCTGATTGAAGGTTTGACTCTGGAATTATTAGCTTACAGAATGTTATTCTGCTTCTCTGCTGCTGATATTGTTCTAACCTAGTTCCAGCTCATAATCTGTGACATTTACATTTCATAAATTAGATTTTTTTTTTCTTTTGTCTATCATGCACTGATGTAGCGGAAAACAAAGATTTCTAGCTGTGCTCTGTAGCAGTTTGTTTAAAACAAGTGTGAATTGAAATATGTGAACAAAGAACAGAGCCCCATCCTGCACTAATGCAAAATTCAGCAACAAAAAAAATCTAGTTCATTATAGTTCTGTTTGGCAGTGTGACGATACTGACAGCACGTTTCTCCCCGTTACCGCCACCCTGCCTAAACCTGGTTCTGCTGAGAGGGGATTTGGTTTTTTTTCTCCCAAATGACATGAAAGTTAGTAATCATAGAGAACTGTTATGCTTGTTGGGTTTCTCTGTATAATTTAATATTGACTCTTGACCTTACAATACAAAGTGCCAGTCAGTGGGATAAAGTACGTTGATGTCTTAAACAGCCAAAATACATTCCTTTCTCAGTTTTTGAAAAAAAATTATACATCCAGAAAATGTGCATACTGGTATGTATCAGCATTGTGATATAACAATTTAATACAGCAAATGAAGTATCTGTGAGATCATTTAGCACCAATACAGCTCACCTTTTACTTACTGTCCCAATTACAGCTGCGTACCTGATTTGATTAGTTGATCAAAGTTTTTTTTGTGTGTTAAAAAAAAAACAACAAACATACCAGATATTGGTTGGCTAGGCTCTTATATATGGGTCATTCATCATCTTCTGCTTGACCATCTCTGATTTGCCTTAAATTCTATTTCATATGGATATCCATAAAATATGGATGTTTCTAAAGGTAACTGTGAAATTTTAGCTTGAGGTTTCAAATACTTTTTAAAGATGAAATATTTTCTGTAGACCCACTTTTCACACATTAAGATTCAAGGCTATGTTTTACAAAAATATCTCAGCAACTGTTAAAGGTAAAACCCTGAAATGTTCACTGTTAATTCTCATCATGTCATTGATTCAGGGTCTTAAAAATGAAAATATGGCCACATTTTAAGAAGGTATTTTCTTAGTTACATTTTATATATATATATATATCTACTCTGCTTAGATTAGGCTATCTAGCCATTTTTATTCTTATCATTGTTATTTTGCAGCAACCTATCCTATCTGCTCAATCAGTAAAAGTTCAGCTAAAACAACTTTTTTCATGTTTGTCATATGACTCTACATGTTTTGTTTTGTGTTATTGTGACATGCAACTACATATGGTTCAGAAAATATCACTAATCGACCCCTGCGTCATATCTTTTCCGTTGTTAGTGTGCTCAAAGATGGGACAATTAATGACAGGTTCAGTGTTTGTTATATTTCGGAAAATAGTTGATCTATGAATTTTTAAAATTTCCCAGTTACCATTTTAAATAATAATAGTTTACTATAAAATGTTTCCAGTAAGTTAGCGATGCTAGCGCAGAAGGCCCTGATGATTAGAAAGACTGAATAACCCATATGAGGCTTTGCTGCTTTTCTTGGCCTAATAGTTCAGAAAATTTAATATTTTGATGTTCCAGGATATTATTTTCTGGATTTTCAGTGTTTTTTTTTTTGTTTGTTTGTTTGTTTGTTGTATTTTATGGACTTTTTGTATTTTAATCAAGAAGAGGAACGAAAATAAATTGTTAATGCACCCCCACTCCAAATAGGACCTTTTAATATCGGTACAGTATTGCATTGAGACAGGTTTAAACAAGTGTATTTGGAAAACTTTTCCTTACAAGATGTCTTTTTTTTTTTCTTGTATGTGCTTGTTTACTAATCACAGGCATCATAGTCATAAGAAGCTTTGTCTTTATAGAGAGACATAAAATCTACAATTCTGTAGCAACCTGGCGAAGATGTGTGATTTAGTCAAAATCCCCAGAACAATGAGCTTGTTCTCTTAGTTAAACAAACCTTTGAAATGCCTGAGGACATAATAACATAACCGAAGATACAATCGAAGTTCATATTGATCCTGAAACGTGATAATAATGGATGTGGAAATATCACATTTAAGTGTTTTGTGTGAATGTTTTATGCTTCAACAATTAGGATGTTCAATTAATACCTACCAAGCGTTCCTTTTATCATTTAAATGACAAGCAAACAGCTTTTCAAAATTACTATGATTTAATTTCACTGCTGTATCACTCTGATTGCTTCGTTAACATTATCTGATAATATCAAAACCATGTCATTTAGATAAAAGGTCATTTGGTCAGCGTATGCTCTTGTGCATTTATACCACACAAACACAGATGTTTTTTTTTCGCCTAAAAGCAAGAACAGATTCAGAATTTGATGTGATGTGAACGTGCTGTCTACAACCAGACATTTTTCCCTTTTGGTGACATGAGTCAGTCATTACTCAGCCTCAGGGGTTCCCCCTATGTGTTCTCTTAGGCCCTCATCAGAAATGACCCCAAAAGGAAAATCTCATTGATATGTTTTCCACTTGTAATGCTTTTAGTTGTAAACCAGTGTTTCTAATTCTGATGATCGTGGTTATCCCTTAGAGCCTGCGCTGAGACCTTGTGACCTCCCAGTGATGTTACCGCACAATCGACTGCAGCGGAAATTGTTCTTCCCCCATTGCGTTCTTTGCTCTTTTTTTTTTTTTAGCTGCATTTTCCTCTTGTGCATTTTGATTTAGACAAGTGTACATTTCGTATTATTCAGTTTCATGATCGTAATAATTATATGTTGTATAATGTAGTAGTAATTATGTTAAAATAATAATAATAATAATGTCAATCAATACATGTTATATTCACAATTCGTTTTTAAGTAAATAGTAAAAAATATTGATTTCGTCCTCTTTTTTTTTTTTCATCTCAGCGTATCGTCAATACCTCAAACAATCCTATTTAAATCAATTTATGTAAATGATTGAAGCTGTGGAATCAATCTGACAGAGAGTACAAGCTTTCTGGAAAATGACGACGGTCGGATATTTTGGCTGATTACTAAAATGACATTTATTGAACTACCAACCCAGCCAATGCCAAACCACAGCTACTATTTTTCAGCATTTCCACCAGCTCGTACACCGGTCTGAAACCCCTTCCCATGTTAGAGAAATGTCACTCAGCGTTCCATCTAAATACCACAGCAGTATTCAGAGGCTGCTGCCGGTAACTGAGTTCAGGTAATGTGTTCCCGAGAGGGGCACGGCACACCGCACCACATCCGTTATTATTCAATGCTTGCATAGGGGAAACTCTAAATAAACGCCGTCATCCGAGTCCCATCTTCATATTTGTGACGTTAGGTGTCAAAGTTCCCACACTGAGGGTGTAAGCGATGTTAACTTTTGTTTTCCTGAGAAGTGGACAGAACTGATCACTGATGGCTGACTCACTATGAGACAGTTTTTTCTGTCAGTTAGAGCTGAACTATGGGTCAAAAGTTGAATATAGTCAGAGTTCACTAAAAAAAAAAATCCCCCCTTTGTCCAAAACTCTCAGAATAAATGTTGCTGCTTCTAATTTCATGCCACAGTATTTAGAATTTATACAAAATACATGAGGATGGTAATATTTACAAAAAAGATATCTTTTGTGTTTATGAAATTGTCATGAATAAAAGGAGGATAAATTCAGGCATGTTTACATTTGATTCCATTTTACATGAGATTTATTATAGATTCCCTCCGTTCTCTTCACAGGCTTTCTGGTCACTTTCTATCCTGTAGGAAACCTCTTTCTGATAATTTATTGATGCCCTGGAGGGAATGAACCTGTATTTATTCCGTCTGCTCCTGTGAACTCCTCCATATAAAGTTATTTGGCAACTTTTTCTGGAGTGAAGCAAATGGAATTTAAAATCTCCATTGATGTGCTTACACATGGGTGGGAATTGATGTTTTAAATGACTTCTGATCCCGTCTTCCCTCAGACCTGTATTTCCTGTTGCCACGGTTACTATCAGATTTCATTATTAGTGAATCCTGGGCTGCTGCACACTGTACAAACCCTCCCGAGCAAAGGCAGATTCTGTTTCAGAGCTGCATCTGTTACATGAGCATGTTTCATGCCTCCGATACAGTTCCAGCCCAACATGGACTCTAAAGCACAAACCTGATTTGAAAATAAACTATGAGCACTTGAAACTTTTTTTTTTTTTTCCTGTTGGTGAACACTAGAAGGGACATACATCCACCTTATAAATTGAAATATATAAACTTGACAATCATTTGCTTAAATACATTATTTTATTTAATTTGAGTTGTTTATCTGGCCACCTTCTACATTTAAATCCCAAATTCATTCTACTTTTATGCCTGTTTTGGCCTTTATTATCATCCATGGGGAATATTTTACTCTTTAGCTGCAAAATGCTCCACTGCGTTTACCAACTAGTTACCTTATAAAGTGGTGAACAGGCGTTGTTTAGGAGTATTTTTTTCTATATCCACTCTTCTTTTAACATCACATTTTTTGTACAGTTTTCCTTCACTGTCGCTGATGTGCCTGATTTTTTTTTTTTTTTATAGTGTAAAATATGGATATTTATATTATAAAGATATATTTAGGATTTTTTTGCTTGCTATATCAAATACTTTTATAGATGAAAATTTGCCTGTTTCACTCACTTTCACCAGATTTTTTCACACGTTGAATTTAAGGTTATATTTGAATGTCTCAGAAACTATTTAAGATAAAAGCCTGAAATTTCCAGTTGTGAAAAAAAATTCAAGCAAATCAGCGATAGTTGAGCAGAAGGCCTCCGATGATGTGAGACGGCATAAGCCCTCCGTTTAGCAAAACCATGCATTGAATTAGTCGTAAGGTGATAATTGTCTTTGATCTTGAAACTGCAGCAAACTCCTGTGACATTACACATATTAGTTTGATCTGTTGTTGATATATAACAATTATTTAGTGCAGCTTCAAATAAGTAGCCAGATGAAGCAAGCGCAATTATTTGCTAATAGGAGGAATTTATTCATGTTTTGAGACAATTAGTATTATATATTACAGCAGGTGATTTTCATTGTGGGCGTAGGTCTTATTAGGTCTTATTAGCATTTGTTCATGTGTGCACTTGATCATTTAGCTTTTTCTCTCTATTTTCCCATGCGTACATCAGTTTTTAAACTCTGCAAAACATGTAATTTACATTATTTATTTTTCCTTCATTTAACTAGGTGGGTTAATTGAGAACAAATTCTCATTTACAATAACAACCAAGAGGCAGAAAAATAAGAACAGAAAATACAATAAAAGGGATACATCCATAAAAAAATAACAAAAATAAAGCACAAACAAAACATGACAATAAAAGGCTTAAAGATAAAATACACTCAAAGCAGGTACAGGAATTGGTAAGTAATGCCTTCACCATATTTTTCAAAGATGACAGAGGTATAAAAGAGGTGAGCTGAAGTGTTTTCTGTAAGTGCTTCCAGTCGAAAGCTGCAGAAAACTGAAATGAATAGCGGCCAACAATAGTGTCATTTGCTTGTTTGTTTTACAACAAAGTGGATTTGCATCACATGAGTCTTATCTTAAATTTTAAAACAGATTTGTCCTTTTGTTAATATAAATCATGGTAAAAATTAATAATCGATAATTTAGACTCAGTAGATTTTAACAACACAATGACGTTAAAATGACAAAATTGTTGAAACATCGGTCAAAACGTTTGTAGTAGAAACTGCACAGCGCTTTACGTCTGTGAGTATAAATAGATGCTGCTGAGTGATGTGCTTGTCCTGTTTAATTCCAGCACTGCCTTTTATTGAAGCAGACTCAGCCTCATTGCCTTAATCATGTAACTGTTTAATTCACATGCATGTCTGAAGTGTCTACTGGGTTTAGCATTTAAACCAATTCTGGAAAGCATATCACACTAATAATGCAACAGCATGCAATAAATACACCATAAAGCCAACCGGAATCCACAGGGTCATTCTGGATATTTTATTAATACGCCATTAAAGCATCTCTCCTCCTCAAAGGAAAACCATATACTGTAAACTCAGCTACATTTAGCGCACAATATTGACACATCAGGTTGAAAATAATTGAGGTGATTGTTACACAGGGTCTTTAAATGCAATGTCTGTGCCAAGTTGAGAGCACTGAAGCCCAACTAAGATCTACCAGGTGGTGGACTTGGCAGCTCGAGGCTATGACGATCAAGCAAGCACATAGCAATGTCATGGCAATAATGACAAGAATCGGAGGAGATTATAGCGCTGCTTTGGTGGTTTTTGTGGGTGTCAGTTACCTCAGGTGTGACTGGTGCTGTTTCAAAATGACACAACTCATCAGGATTTGTGACAAATGTCTCAGAATCTGACCAACTGAGCAGAAGAACTGTTCCTGATAAGTCTTGCCACAAGAGGGGAATTGCTCATGTTGTAGCTTCAAAATGGACCACAAAGGTGCTCAGAATGACTCATTTTACTTCACATTTGCTTTTTTTTTAATTTGGTTTCTTCTATAATTCTGCATCTTGACTTACATATAGTTGGATAACATGGTAACAAAATGGTACCAAATAGCTTTCTCTAAAGGATATAAAGCTTCATGTGGAATAATGGAAACTCAAGGTCTGTAAGTGTAAATAAAACCAGACGGGACTATTCTGTGTATGTTTGTTGAAGAGTGCTGGAATTTTAACAAACAAGTCATCAGTTTCATTCACAGCCATTAACTCTTGCCGTCTTTTCACAGATGCAGCAGATGGTGAACTCGGATTCTCGGTTTACCAGCAGCCAACAGCCAATTGAAGCAGCACTTGGACCCAGGAGCCAATCAGGCATGAACCAACAAAACCAATTATCCACCATCAACCAATCCCAGCTGGGGCTGAGCGGGAACTCTGTTACCCATAATTCCCCCTCACCTCCTGGAAGTAAATCCGCCACACCGTCTCCCTCCAGTTCCGCACACGAGGACGACAACGATGATGGACTCAGGGTAAAAACAAACAACACAAAGATGCGCACACACTTTCCTGTATTTGCATGAGTCACTGAGTCATATCTCACTGGCTTATAGCAACCATTCGTGTGTATGTGTGTGTGTGTGTGTGTGTGCGCGCACAGACAGTGAAGACTTATTATGATAATGGTATGTGTCATAATAGACCCTTTCTTTCTGCATATCTGCTAGACAGAAATCAGCTCCCTCACTTTCTCATACTGAATCAAGCACTCTGCACCAGGCTGTTCATATTCTGGGGAAATGAAACCATTATTAGGCTACTGAATAATATTTACCAACTTTGTCATGTGTTGTACATGGGTACAGGTAATGCTGGCTTCAAGATGGATGGAAAATAAAAACCAATAGAGCCTGGTTTAACCTTCACGGTGTACTTACAAATTTACGAACACCGCCTGCTTTTGTGGTGCTTCATATGTAGTACTGAATGTACATACTTATGTAGCTAGCCTTGAGTAAAAAGAGGCTACCTGAACATGTGTATCAGGCAAACAGGTAATTCAATGTGCTTTAAGGAGGCACAGAGATGCATAAGAGCAACACTTAATAACATAATGACTATGGAAATAAAATAAACAGGACAGCAGACCAAGGAACTATGGTTACAGTGCAACATTTAAAGCATATACAGAGTTCTACATTTAGATTTGAAAGTGTACAAGGTTGTGGCTCATTAAACTCTGAGAGCCTGCTCTAGGTTTTTTCATATTTCTCCAGCATCTTCTTGTCAGTGATTGAATTCCACATGAACCCACAAATTTAACAACAACAACCTATATTAATGCACTTGAGATGTAATCTGAAGGTAGCGCTGGATAGTTGTAGTGTTTTTTTCATTCCAATAAAATTTGATCAAATTACATTCATGCAATCCTGGTGAAGAAGCTTAGATGGGCTTTTGAATGTTAGCCAAGAGAATATTTTGTTCTTTCAAAAAACTAGCAGCCCATGCTTTTATGATGGGTAAGTGGGGGTTTTAACAAAAAAAAAGAGACCCTTTCAAAGCATTTTTCATGAGTTAATCAGGCCAGTCGTTTCTTATCCAGTCCCAGGTTGTATTCATTTAATTAAATACATTGTGAGGAATTATTATTATTATACATTCTAAAACATGACACCCTGCTGGGGTTCTATTATACTTTAGTACTTTGGCTGGAAGACTCACAAAACCTATTAATAAATAATGAAATTGTGCTCTATGTGGTGTTAAATTTAAGAAAGCAATAATAATTAAATAACTTGGTGAACCCTGCAGAGTCAGTGAAACTATTGTTTTCATTGTGGTCATGTGTTAACTGCCCATAACAATAATAATTTTTATTATTACGACCCCAGTGAGGATAAGGTGGTGTATAGATAATAGATGGATGGACAATAATTTCCAACAAGGCCTAGTAGCCCACAATTAAACTCCTTGTCTTGGTGGGCAACTTACATGACAGTCTAAAGTAAGTTGCATTTCTGTAGAAGTGATAACATGTTGTTAAAGGTCAATACCAACTGTAGCTCTTGACAGATTAGAGTTCAAAAACATGAGTGGGTGTGTTGGGGGTAAACTAAGGTGCTGCAACTGGCTGAACTGATACATAACAGTAAGAATTGTGGGTAACACATTACAGACGCATAAGAATACAAGTGAAAATCAGGGGAGTCTGTATATATGACACATTTCTGCTGCATTTTTGACTGAAATATGTTTCAGTTTTAATCAGTGCAAATTTTGAAATGTGCCTTTTACAAGCTGGTAAACTGACAGTTACTAATAAGCCGGCTGGATGTAGTTTATAAGCACGATCTCATTTGTAGAGGATGTTGTGTAAAGGAGCTGGTCAAAGTAAACCATTTCTTATCGTATTGTTTTTTTGATTATACAGTAAATTTCACATTTCTGCTGGTTCATCCTTCCAGCTATGCAGTGAATTAAAGATTAGCTTGTCATTTATGTAGAATCAGTTATTTGGTAATTAAGTGTACCAGTTAAACACTGTTGTTTATGTGAGGATTTCTACACCAGCTGCACAACATTTTTACAACGGTTTTCGACGACGTACCCCTCATTTTCCACTTCAGACACACAACAAAACAGATCCAGTGTCGACACTAACTGCTGCTTTCGCTGTGGCATCATGGAGACTTGACCTGTTTATATCATGGCTGATGTTGAACCACTCTTCTGAAAGGCTTCATCAGGTCTGCTGACTGGTGGGGACTTTCCCCACGTTTCCTCTCTGTGGTTGAATTATACATCGCTTCACATCAAACAACAACAGCTGAGGTCACATGCAAGCAATGTGGGTCCTCAAAGACATGACTTTAGGTTTGAATTGTTAAAACTAGTCCTTAAACAGTCAGTCAATTCAATACATAACTCATACTAGCCAACATTTTAGTTACCACAGTTCCACTCTTAGTTTTTAATGCTCTTTTGCTAGAAAACTAATCCACCACCAGTCATTTTGTCCATCTGTACATTCACCCATCCAGACTTCTTTCTTCATACAGTTTCAGCGTGTCTCCTACTCAGCCTCCCTTATTTATCTTCACAGGGAGAGAAACGTCCAGCAACAGTGGACATCTCCAAGAAACCCAAAACGCCAAAGAAGAAAAAACGAAAGGACCCCAATGAGCCAGTGAAGCCAGTGTCTGCCTACGCTTTGTTCTTCAGGGACACCCAAGCCAACATCAAGGCCCAGAACCCCAACGCCACCTTTGGAGAGGTGTCAAAGATCGTGGCTTCAATGTGGGACGGCCTGGGAGAAGAGCAGAAACAGGTAGGTTGTCCTTTAAATTCGCTTGTCTGTGCTATATAGTCCCTCACTGCTGCTCATAGGATTATCTTCGGAAGTAAATAAACTGTATATGCCTTTTGGGATATTAAATTATCAACATTATCGCAGTTGTAATCAAACTGAAAGTAAAGGCTCCTGCCAAAAGAGATGTGGTGTAAATCTAAACTGGATAGAAGCAACCAGCTTTAGTTAAGCAAACACATCGATATTAATGTTTTAATAATCCACTTATAGTCAGAAGCTTTAGGAGTTTCAGAAGCTTGAGTTTTCAGCCATTCTAGTAGTTAACTACTTTGATCTGGACTGAAATGTCTTAACAACCACTGGATGGATTAAAATGGAAAAAATGCAACAGCTTTGCCAGTCTCTTGAATTTTCATCTGGCATTGGCTCCAGTTTGCCATGGATTGGAATGGAATTTGTACACTCATTTATGGTTTCCCCAGGATCAATCCTACAGACTCTGTTTGGATAGATGGCCATTACATTTGGTACAGATATTCTGTTTAACCCTATACATTTCCATTTCTCCCCATCATCACACCAGATCTGTAACCTGTCCTGTGCTTATGTGCAAAACTAATGACATTCTCATCACCCTCAACTGTACTTTGTCTTTGGAGCCAGTTTCATTTGGTAACAATCAAAATTAAGATGGTGACCACGGCCACCATTCTATACAACATTGTGAACATGTTGATATTTTGTGTCTAAGTGCTGCTGCTTAAAATCACTGCTGCAGATTGTCAGCCCTGTCAGAATAAAGAACATGGTTATCCTGTTCAGTGAAGCTATAAAGGACATAAATGTAGTTGGAGTGAGAAGGGCAAAAGTGGCAGCGTCATCGTTGTGACAGAAATCAACAGTTATGCAGAGAAACATCAGCTCTAACAATACCACAGAGACTATCAGTCATTACTGCACTCGTAACACTTCTACAAGTGCCATATCAACTGAATTTAATAGTGTTTGGATTCAGAGAAGAGTTGCAGTAGGTGCTTTGGGAATTCATTATTTTGGTTATGTGTTATTAGATAAATTTGTCAGCTGAGGGAAATACTACGAGCCCCATGATGGTTATACCAGAGCACATTTTACACTATTATGATGATCAGATGCAGTCTAATTCTGTTATTTACAGCTACGTGTTTTTGTTTCTCAGTGCTGTAAACTGTCAATTTGTGTGTTTCAGGTGTACAAGAAGAAGACAGAGACTGCTAAGAAGGAGTATCTGAAACAACTGGCTGCCTACAGAGCTAGTCTGGTCTCACAGGTGTGATACACACTCACATATACACACTTTAAGTTATTTGTTTCATGCCCAACTCAGTCTTCACAAAATTTCGTCTTTATACAACTAAACTGCATTCTCAATGACATTTTGAGGGAAATGTATTTTCAGCCGTGTTAAGTTTTTAATGCACCCCAAAGACGTTTCTCATCAACACATCTTTGCCATTTATTTTATTCTCTTGCCGTCACACATTTCCGCCAACCAATCATAAATTAGATGGGGCAGGATCTCTCACCCTGGTCATAGTAAAGCTTCAAACAGGTAGTGAAAGAATCACATTTTAACCCAAACCATGATATTTCTCATAACCCTAACAAAGTGATATTGGTGCATAACTTTAGCTGAGCTTCTAGCATGTAAAAGTGTCTAACAAAGTGTGATATTGTCCAAAACCAGATGTAGTTTTGGCCCATAATCCAAACCAGAAAGTGAGTGACAATCGAAGATAAACAGAGAGAAAACCTAACTTAAGTCTGATTCTTTGTCCATGAGGTGATATGAACCCTGGTGTTCTCTGTGAATGGTCTCAAGTTCATCTTCCCCTTTTTCAAACTGGCTGTCTTTCCTACAGTGTCACAGCTGACATGTTACACTTACATCAAAGCAAAACTATGTTCCTCTCAGAACATAAATAAGAATACAGTTTAGTTGTATAGGAAGGTAATTTTCCAAGTGTAAATGGTTGATGTGAACCTGCAAACTAACTTTGTTTCCTTCTTTCTCGTTCTCCAGAGTTACAATGACCCATCTGACATGAAGCCACCCCACTCTTCCTCCTCATCCTCCTCTTCTACCTCAATGTTTACACCCAAACCTTCAGTCTACCCCGGTCACCCAGGCCAGCACCCTTCCTCCAGCTCACTTGCCCACCCTCACCCTCTCCAGTCCCATCAGCACCCAGGCATGTACATGCCCTACCCTCACCCATCACACCCTTCCCACGCCTCCAGCCCCGGCCTCGGGCCCCACCTACCCCCTCCTCATCCCCAAATCCATCCCCAGCTCCAGGCTCTGTCCTCCAGAGGGACCGTGCCACGGGCCAGTGTCCCCCACCAGGGAGCCCTGTCCCTCGGCAATGTGGCGGCGGCATCTACCCCTCCTCTCCAGGTCAGCCCTCCTCTCCACAGCCAGGCACACCTGGGAGGCCTGCACAGTCCACACCATCAGCACCAGCAGCTCAGTGGACACCCACTGGGAATGACACACTCCCCTGCCATCACACAGGTCAGTCATACTCAAGATATACAACCTTAAAACTGTATTGTGACTATATGTTGGTTAGGTTAGTATCCATAATTAACTCTAGTATGTATTATAGTCAAGTAAAGTGATATTTTATATCATTCTTGTAGTGTTTTAATCTCTAATATATAAATTACTCTGGTATATTCACACCTTAAATATCAATGCAGGGTCCTAATGGCAATGTTTAATTTTGTAAGGTTACTTTTGTAATGTCAGCCATAGTCCTTTTATTTTAGAAATGTGCTACACAAAGTCTTATTGTTGTTCATATTATTATTACCAGTCATATCCACTTCTCACCAAAGAGGCGTTAAATTTGTTGTATACATCAAACACTCCTTGAGCCAACTTGTGAGACTTTTCCTATAATGTACATTGGACTATTGGAGTTTCATCCATGGCTTAAACTGAAATTCTCTTAGAAATAAGATGATGAAAAGCTGTTTAGTGACCAGCTTTTTGTGACCTCTGGTGACCAAATTTTATTTTAGTCTTCTGTTTTAATTAACTGTTTGTATTTTCTCCATGCTTGTAGCTCTGGTTTATGTCTTATCTAACAATGCGTTTCATTTTTATAAATTCTCAGTGTAGTTACTGATGTTCTTTTCTCCTGCGTACTTTTACTGTACTAGTAATACATTATTCACAGCCTCCACCCAGATATAGGACAGTCCAGGCCACCTGCAGAGCAGCTGCACCACACTGAAATCCTCTAACAGCGCGACACACTCACACTTTAATGCCTTTAATGTATTTATCACCTCTGATGTGAAAACATCACATCTCCAAACAGTCAAAGAAATACAAAGTGTGCATCCTGGTCATAGTTCAGTTGAATAACCTGCAGAGCGTCTCTACGTTGTGTGGATGTCAGCTAAAGGGTCAATCGCACTGGAAGGTAGATGAGAGGAGTCTGAACCAGCGTCAGGTTCAAAAGTAGTTTAGCCGACATTCAGTTCTGAAGCAGAGAGCGTCGGAGCAGCCGACAGGAGCGAGACGCACTCCTGTGAGTCACGCTGCCTCTGTTTCCATCTTCCTTCTCTGTTTCCATCACAGTTAGTTAATGAGGTCATTTTCAGACTACATTCAGTTTGCGGAGTGTCGAGGCTGTCGTGCTGTTATTCTGTGTTGCTCTGTGTACGGTGACACAGCAAAAAAAAAAAAAAAGAAAAGCTGTGAATAAGCTGACAAAATGAGATTTTGTTCACAAATAAAATGATGATTTGAATTGTAGGCGTTTAAAGGGGACCTATCATGCCCATTTTCAGATTTATATTTTAATTCTAGGGCTGTGCTGGTCTGTCTTTGAGAAATGTAATTTTTTGTAAATCCTCATTTATCTTGTCCTGCTACTGAGCTCAGCCTCTATAAGAAACAAGCAGTTTTAGCTCCTTTAAGGCCCCACCCCCTCACTGGCAAGATACAAACATATACAAAAGTGGACAGATTTCACTTGTGTGTCTCTGTCTTTACTCAAAATGTAAACTTCTCGAGTACATCTGTTTGTTCGACCACAAATGTGATCAGAAATGTATCGATCAGCCACAACATTAATACAGGGGAAGCTTGTGACATTAATTATGTTGTTGTGATGGCACCTTTCAGTGTGTCTGATGTATTAGGCAGCAAGTGAACAGTCAGTTCTTGAGGTTGAAGTGTGAAGCAAAGCAGGAAGAATGGAGTCTGTTTATTGTTGTTGGTGCAGAACCGCAGAACAACCTTGGCAACAACTTTAGCAACAAATGCTGCAGAACAGTGGTTTTTTTTTTTTGGATGAGATCTGACATCCGTTTTATGGCGAAGTAGGAGTAACGCTGTAATACATGACAGAAAATAACAAACTCTTCCTATGGCTGATTTACAGGGCTGCCATATTGGATGATTCATTTACTTAATGTCCCAGTTCTATTATTTACTTAAGCCCTAAACTCTTGTGTCAGAGTTACAAATTTAGAAGTGATAATAATCCTTTTCTGCCTTAAAATGTCTTAGATTTAACTCTACACTGTTGCTTTCTCAAGAATGTGCAGGTTTGTGGAGTTCTCGCCTCTATATACACCCCTCCTGAATCACTGCAGCTCAGCACACCAGCTCACCTATCACTCTGCTCAAACACTGTAAAACTACTCTACACAATGGAAAGTTGGAATATTGGATTATTTCAGCCATGTTTAAACCAAGAACTCATTCCAAAGAAGAAGAAAAAATCATACAGAAAGCTCAACCGTGCAAGTTGACAGGATTGAGTCTTTAGATTTGTTCTATATGAAACCCGAAAAGTTTGAATCTTTAGTTTTTTTAGGCTTTTGTCAGTGGTAACCCTCATTGTGTTGACTGCTTATTTGACTTGTGATGTGTCTTCCAGCTTGTATAAAACAAAAAAAAACATATGGACATGTTGAAAAACTAGATTTTTAAAATGTTTTAAACCATGTCGCCATTTCCTTTTTTGCGGTGTGTTGTTGGACGACAATGTCTCATTTTTTGTTTTGCTTACGGACCTCTGTATAGTTAATTTTGATCGATAGCATCTCACTGATTTGCAGAAAAGCTGCACACAGTTGGATGGCGATCGAGAATCAACAGAAGACAAAACAGAGACAAAACACACTCAAACAGTGGAAATGAGATGAGTGTTCAAGTGGGAGTGAATGCAGCAGCATTTCTTCATGGACCTCAGTGCTCATAGAGCAGAGCTGTGCTGAACTGAGCTGGTTTGAAATAAGTTGAGCCTATCTGGGTTAAATTAATAAGAACAGAATTGAACTCCGTGATTGTCAGTGTACAACGAAACTAAGCAGCATTCCTGTCAGTGCATTCACAGAATCAGACAATGTTTTGTTTTGTTTTGGATTTTTTTTTAAAGTACAGTAAGAAATGTACAAATATACAATGTCAACACCTGCAGTCTGTACAGGTGTATTCTATCAAAAACAGTGATACAGCTCATTATTTACAGCTTCTGCAGCATTTTGCAGTCGTTTAACCAATGTTCCACTTCTGGATTCTGCACATAGCTGAACATATAATGACTTGAAGTAGTGAAAGGAAGACATGCTGCAGCTGTCATTATTACACAGTGATGTTGGATGTTTGACCTCAGTCTTTAGCCACCTGGATGTCTGAAACAGTGACTAGATGAAGCAGTTTGAATGTTACAAGAAGTGATAGTGAAGTTCTGGAGACCTGTGATGGAGAACACATTGGCTGAATTTGGTCAAACTGTCAGTTTTTACCAGCTCTGATGTTGTCAGTCACTCAGTCAGTGTTTGTTCTCTTCATTTGTCACAGTTAGCTGCTCTGTTCATAGTTGCTCTGTTAAGACGGGGGCAAGACAAGGATGAGTAGCTGTGATATGAATTCATGTAAAGTCCAGCGTGAGACAGTGTGATGTGCAAATTGTGCAAATCGTTAAAACGTGGTGGATAGATTACCACTGAGTCTCACTTCCCATTTTATCCCCCTTTTTATAGAGCACTTTTAAATCCCACACTACCATAATCCCCTTTCTCTCCTCCATTTTGCATATATTTTTTTTAAGAAAAAGACCAAACAAAAAAAAAGAAAAAGTGAAGGGAAAAAAGAAGGAGAGGACACAGTGACAGAGCTCCCAACTTTTCTTTTTTTTTTTTTTTTCTGCGGGTGAAGAGTGAGAACTGATGGGGGAAGGGAAAGAGGGGGAGAGAGGAGAGAGAGAGAGAGAGAGAGACAAAAGAGGCAGATGGGGTCTTTGTGAAGGAGTGAAGGAGAAGAATTTGCTCAACAATAGATGAATAGGTGAGGTAGAGGAGGAGAGGGGGAGGAGAGCGGGGGAGAACCCAACCACCTGCTGTCCTCCTCTTTCTCCTCTTTCACTCACAACACTCAGATTAACTTCCCTTTCAGACTCTCTCTCTCCCCCTTTCTCCCCCATCACACACACACTTCTACACTTTGTCATTGCCTGCGCTCATTTTTCCGTCTCCCTCTCCTCCCTCTCATGGTTAGAGACATGCTCACCTCCTCTTCCTCCTCCTCTTACCTTTTCATCTTCACGTCTCCTCCACCCTTCTGGCAGATGATAAAATCAGCAAGATACTCCAAACTCTGTAATTACTGCTGATGAACCTGCAACTGATCTGTCTCCTTTTCACTTCAGTCACATTCATTCATACAGCCCCGTTCATCAGAATCCATTTTTTTACTAAAGACGTGTTAATGGCTGGTTTGCAGAAACCATCAGCTGTCAATGGACTAATTCATGTTGAAGGAGGAAGTAAACAGGCCTCCAATAAAACCTGCTCAATGACACTTAAATGCATATGAAGGATTTTACTTTTTAACCACTTTTGCCAAGTACTGTGACCTGTTACTATTGAAGTATAGCCAATTTCCATTTAAATAAAAGTTATGCCCTCAGACGAACTTCAGACAACCCATTTTAAAGCCTGTATTTGCTCACATTTTGTCACCATGAAAATTGTGTTAATTAGCTGTTCTAAGTTTCTGTTTGTCACATTATGATGGATGTATGACAGCTGTGTAACTACTTACTCAAATGTGATGATTCACAGGCAGGTTCTGGTTTGTTGATGTTTGACCTTTGACATAAATTGTGGCACTTCAGGTTTTAAAGCAGCTGAACTGTCTCCAGGAGTTTTGTGTCACAAGCTGTGTTTCTATCATGTGATGAACATTTTAAAGTTCCAAGTTGGAAAAGTTTGTTGGAAATGCCAGAATTTGAAAACTGATTCCACCAATGAGTTTTAAAACTCACTTGAGGTGGTTTTTCACCCTTTCAAAAAAGTGAATGCACTTCATGGGAGTTCAAGAAAAAAGTTCAGCACTTTAACTCACATGACTGATCAGCTGGGGCTGCAAGAAGGTCGCTGGTTCGCTTCCCGGTGAGGACACCCGGGATCTTCTGTGTGGAGTTTGCATGTTCTCCTCGTGCAGTGTGGGTTCTCTCTGGGTTCTCCAGCTTCCTCCCACAAGGTCCAAAAACATGTTGAGGTTAATTGGTGATTCTAAATTGTCCGTAGGTGTGAATGTGAGTGTGCTTGGTTGTCTGTCTCTAAGTGTGGCCCTGTGATAGACTGGTGACCTGTCCAGGGTGTCCCCTGCCTTCACCCTGAGTGGGATAGACTCCAGCCCCCCCACGACACGAGTGAGGATTAGGCAGTGTATAGATAATGGATGGATGGATGAACTGATCAGCTTTTTACACTTATTTTTTTGTTTTCACGTCCAGACTAGAGATAGATTAATTATTGGATTCAATTTTAGTCATTTTCCCAATTATCGTTACTTTAACTTGACAGTTGTATGAAAACAGCTACAGTTGCTTCATCTGCTGTCCATGTTTGACACACAGGCCAAATCTGCAGGCCAACCTACAATAAGTAGCTTCCAGTTGTTTTTTTAGAGCCCCAGCATGCATCTCTCCCTTTGACTTCACACAGTATCTGAGTCAGCGTGCCTCAAAGTTTTCCAGCCTCTGATCTAAATTTTATCCAGTTTCAACGACTGGGCTTCTTTTCCCTGCTCATCACCTGTGGCGTTATCAACTGCTCTATATTTTTTTGTACTTCAACTTTACAAAAACTAAGTAAAATCAACAGATCTGCAGCACCACCTGTACTGTAAGAACACAAATACATCTAGCAGTGTCTCTGCAGCAGCACTGATCACGTGGAACTTGGGTTTTTACAGTTTTCTCAACATCTGTCCATGTCTGACCAACCATCCTCTTGTAACTAGATTCCTCCCTCTTCAAAGTGAATTAAAACTTTTTGTGTGTGTTTTGTAATCCCAGGCCTACCCTCAATCCCTGCAGTCTGACTACCAGCCAATGGGAGGAGGCATGCTGAATAGTGGACCAGTGATGTCATCATCAGTGGACTACCACCAGCTGGGTCGACATACACCAAACCACCACCCCTCTCTGGACTGGAGCACTGATTATCATGGCAACGGGTAGGCATCAACACTCGACTGCAAGTTTTTAAAGAGCAGCTTAAAGCTACAGAAAGCAAGTTTATAGAAAAAAGGAAAAAATGGCAGAATTTGAAAACATACATTCCTGCAGCTCTTCTGTCTCCCCTATGTTTTAAGCTCCTCCCACCAGACGAGGACACACTTCAAATATATAAAAAATCCAACACTAACCACTTAGAATGCTAATTTTGAACAACTTTTTTAACCAATAATCAGGAGCCTTGTCACTCAATAGCACCAAATGACCTCGATGGGCATCATTCCATGTCCCTTTACAGCCACTTACAACGTAATCACATGACACGGCCGCTCCAGTGGCGTTGATCATCAGCCACTAGGCCACACTGTTTTAGCGCACTTCAGCTCGCTTGACTGGTACACATTAGATGTCACAGAAGACTTTCCAGGGCTCCAGGCTAACTTTTTCACTGGTGGCACTGATGCAACCAACATTCTTATTTGGTCACACCTCCCACCTGGTCACTTACCAACATTTTCTTATCAGTAGACTACAATTCACTGATGTTCCTAAATGCTTCACATTGCAGCCTGTGGTAGATTCCACGTGGTGTGCTGTGTGCGCTCAGACAGGTGTGCAAACAAAAAATACTTGAAAAGAGTTAAACTAGGGCGTTCTAACCTCAGGTTTGTCTGAGATGAAACAGTGATTTCTACAATGTGGAGCGCACCTACATGTTCCACTCATAGAAAACAGCGAACGCAGGTGTGCTTCACATTTCAAGTGTCAATACAAAGTCCACCAAAGTTAAAGAAGTGCTGCTTTCCACCACTGTGGTTACCACAGTAGACACCTGTGCCGGTTACAGTGACACTAACACAGCTTAATGATCTTTATGTACTCGCATGAATGCGACGACTTGAAATTTCAACTCACACACTCTCAAAACAGGTTGCAAATGCGACAAAAATGGTTGCAGCGTGGAGCTCTGCTTTGCATTTTGACCCTTTACTAGCCAAATTCCACAGAACTGTCGTCCAAGTGCAACTCTTCTCTGGTCGCTATGGCATCAAACAGTAAGAGGCTCCACCTCTTACCTCCTACAATACATTTTCTGACATGCATGTCCTTCATCTCATGCTTCATTGGTTAAAATATTTATAATCGGTTAAATCATTACTGGTACTTAATTGGTTAAGCAATAGTCATTAACATCCCTATGACCACTGCACCAAAAATCTATATTTATTTGTGGCTTTACAAAGGATTTATGTTGTGCTTTCCTAAGTGAAAGTCCTTCATCGATCCCACTGCGTCACCATATCCAAGAAGACCAGTTTCCTTTCAGACCATTTGAATCATGATATGTTCAAAGGTTAGTGTGGAAGTTTTTCCTACTGCTTCAAGTTTCACAAAAAGTTCACCTTGTCTTTACTCCAGTAATCGGAGGCATCACTTTTGGGTGGTTACAGGTGGAAGTAACTTGGTTTGACAGGTTTTAAAGTGCACTTTCTGTAATGGTGAAGGGGGCGTATTCAAGCTAAAACTGGGTGTTAAGTTACTGTTCAGTGGCTCGCTGGACTGTAGCTTTGAATGTATCAGATGTCCAAGTCAGTGTTTCCCCCAGAATAATGTTTGTGTTTGGGTAAATCAGCCTGAGCTATACAGCCTATGTATTTTGATTTATTAGTTCTTGTTTAATTTGTGACAAAGAACACCTTTGTTACTTACGAAATCAGGGAAGTGGCTGTTGAAAGATAAAATGATAATAATTTAAACAATAGATATAGCATCAAGGATGGATTTCAGGGCTCCTCTTCTGGCTACAGCCCTGCAGGAATTTGATAAACATGTGAAATTGCAGGTTTCATTCACATGTACAAACATTTTGGCCAATTTTTTAATTTTTTTTTTGAATCTGCAAAAGAAAATGTCCCATCCACTGTTACTTAAATTTTAGATCTTGGTTTGTCAATAACAGCTGATGGCACTAATTGTTGAGTTGGTGTCGTCATGCCACTACAATAAAAGACAAACAGTAAAGAATAATGTAGAAAGCATGATGGAACTGTGGCATTTCAGTTAGTTTTATTCATTAATGTCAGACAGGGTGCAGGACACTCATTGTGCCACACAAATCACATGTTTTCATCTATTTCTCAACTCTCCAGTGGAGTGGAAGCTTCACTGGATGCCACATGCTTCATTTACTCGCTAAAGCTGCTTCCATTCCACTTTCTATTTTGAACTTATTGATACACAAACTTTTCCACCTCAGCCAAGCGTAAAAACTTTGGAGATTTTTTTTTTTAATTTCAGCATTTACACTCCCGGTTTTTCATATTGAAAATGTGGCTAAAAACAGGTCGATGGAAGCACACGCAATTACACTTATTGGAAGGATTTTCTTAGATGGTGTAATATTTAGCACATTTGCAGTGTGCTTTGTGACATCCATTAGTTTGAAGAGTCCTGATGTCCAAAAAAAGCTAATATGAGCCAGTCACATAATATCTGTGTTCTGGTCACTGTGGCTGATGTGTTTTTTATCCCTCTCTGCTTCCAGAAGTCTTCAGAGAGACAAACCTCTGTATCTGAGCTAATCTCAGGACCAAGCGACACCAAACGTCTACACTTCTACTGCCACACCATGAAACCTCCAGCCTCATCTCTCCATGAAGACCAGCCTGGTCCAACCTGAACCCCACTGAGAGAGCTGACTGCCAATGACAAACGGACTCACAGTGGACGTACAGACCACCCACAACTGAACCAAACCTGAGTTCAGCACTTAAAACAAAAAAAACCCCAAGCAGTAGAATCATTTCTGTGTATTACTACTATCTCTTTAAGGTACAACAGTGTTAAGAGCTGACAAGAGCATCTGTTATTTGCTGTATCTTTTCTACTGATCATTTACTGCATATTGCTACCGTTGGAACTGAAAATGCGTGTACCAGTGAGGAGAGGTAATGCTGATAGGTGTATATACTCCAACCTCTGTCTGCTCTGAAACAACATCACGTCTAGTTTCTCATTTTGCAAGAATGGTGTCTAGCACCAGTTTCAGAAGGCTCTGAGGAGCTCGTGTAAATTGCTGTAACATAACTGTTTAAGTTGTCAGTTTAAACCCGACTGATTTGTTTTTCTTTGACTTCATAGTTGCCGTGTTTTTCTACAGCCAAAACCGGAAGAACACAGCAAAAACACAAGATGTTAATAACCAAATACTACACAAATTGTGTTTCCCCCTCCGGCTCTTTAATTACAAGAGTCTTCGATTTGATGAAGTGCGGACTGAGGAGACAGAAAATGTCCGGCGATTCTGAGAGTTCAACAAAAATGATGACTGAATTCAGGCTGCTTTATTTAGCTAAAGACAAATAAGAGAAAGGTGTGGAACAGCGCGAGAAGCTGTCTGTTGCCTGTTTAGGCAGGCGGCAACTGTGAATAATTGTGTACGATTAAAGAATTTTCATTGTTCTCTTAAGGAAGTCCGATGTATTTTAGTCCTTGAAATAATGAAAATGTCAAACAGCTGTTTGTTGGAGAAAAAAAAAGAAAAAAAGAAACAAAAATACTCCTTTGTATGATGACAGCTCCTCCTCCTGGCATATGTCTGTTGATAATATTGATTTGGATCCAAACTGTGTGTGAGTGTGTGAAGTGTTAATGAGGAAGCAGAGTGGTTGATTGGGTTGCATGGTCTCTTTTGTCATCTCTTTTTCTCTGTGCACAGAGGCTATTTAAGAAACTATAACTGTTGCTGGGTTGGCTGTGTTTAATGTTGTTTTTTTTTTTGTTTTGTTTTGTTTTTTTTAATCAAATAAAGTTTTGTTTTAGTGTTAATGATAATGATGATGAGAGACGTATCTCTCTCGCTCTGTATCTCTTTGTATTAATGTGGTTTTTTTTTGGCAGATGAAAGGACTCTGGGCAACAACAACCATGAAGATTTTCTTATTTTTAGATTCTAATAATGTGTTTGAGAATAAAGTCAGCGCTGCATTGATGTGCAGTCATTACTCCAAAACCTGCCTCTTTCATGTTGTTTATTTCGGAACAGTTGGTGACAGTTGCTTTAATTAACTGCACATAATAATGTACACCTTTACCACTGCTGCGACTCTCCACACCTCCTTGTCTGTATCTTGGCCTTTGCATTTATGCAAAGTGGCTTCCAATTGCAAAACAAATTCCTTTGAAGTCTCGGAAAATATGTATTTTTAACCCAGGTTGGTTCAAATAGGAAATCTTGTTTTAGCTTCTCAAACCATGTGGCTGAGATGGAAATTCTGCTGTCTGATACCTGCAAACCTGAAGGTATCCATTATCCACAGCTGGACTTTGTGTTTAATACTAAAGAGCAGGTTTTAGCATGCTAACATGCTAAAACATGGGGAACATGGTAACGCACCATTATTATGAGCATGTTAACAGGCTACAAATCCATTTACCTCAACAACGCCCCCATGCCTAAGTCTGAGAGAGTCACTAGATAAAAACAGCTGTTGACTTTTAAAATAAAACAAACATGGCTAAACTTGATCTAGCTCCAGTTTGTCCTTCATGTCAACGAGTTAAATATTCTTTATATACCTGCATGGCTGTGCTACTTTTTTGAGGTTATCTAAATTTTTCTTCTTTTAACATGCACCGATAAGTTGGTTTCTTCAGACTAGAAATGACAAAAACAAGTGACAAAAGGCTGCCTTCACCCTGAGTCAGCTGGAATAGACTCCAGCCCCCCCGCAACCCTAGTGAGGATTAAGCGGTGTATAGATAATGGATGGAAGTGACAAAAGATGCTAAGACATTGTGTTTGAGTTGTTAACACATTTCAAGTATACATGGGGTTTTTTTTGTTTGTTTGTTTTGTTTTTTAAATTTAAGTACTATGTCCAACACTATTTACATCTCTTTTGATACTTTCAAGTTTTTTTTTTTAAAAATGCAGCTTCTATGCTATTTCAAAGGGTCCTCGCAATTTCTCCCATGTTCTTCAGCATTCTAATACACTGTAAACTGAGATAGCTGATGCTGTACATCTCTACTCAGTTACTAGAGCCCAGGCTAACACCAGAAACCTTAGTGAGCTTCCTGTTCAGCTCCATCACTCAGAGAGAACTGTGCGTTGTGGCTGTAAGTCATATCCAAGTGTTTTCAAGTTCTAGTGCCACAGTGCAAAGTGCCATCAAAAAATACAAGGAGTGCCACAATGTCAACAGACACACTAAGAACCTAAAGTGACCTCTGCATTAAAAATAAAGTAAGTCTGAGAGGCCAAACATAATCCACGGATCACCACCAACACTGTCTTGGTGAATCAGAGCAGTTACCAACGTCTTAAGACAGACACTCCAGCAGACACTGAAAAAGGCAGGTCTTCATGGACACTGATGATAGAAGACTCCACAAAGGTTCACTTGGACAAAGAGGAAAGCTTTTGTAAGTGGTGTCATGGACCAGAAATCACAAATCAGTAATGAGTCATACATCTGCAACACAAAGAGCTAACGAGGTTGTCAAATGTTGTTCCACTGAAGGACTTTTGGGGTTCAGGATCATGTTGTCGGACATCTAAAACATCCCACAGATGCTGGATTGGTGAGATATCTGGAGACTCTACAGGCCAGAATAGGACTGAAGAGCAGCTTGTATTGTGGCGACATGAGGATACGCGTTGTCTTGTTGAAACCTCACATTATGGCGGCAAATGAACAGGATAACCACGGCTGTGAGGATTTCATTCCAATATCGTTTGGCAGTGAGATTGCCGTAAATGAAATGCAAATGTGTTCTTTGTTCATGGCAGGTCCCTGCACATACCATCAGTACTCTGCTTCTATGGGCCTTGTACAACGTTGACATCCACATAGCTTTCCCAAATGCGATGGCAAGATTCTTCAATGAAAAGGAATTGAAGAATCCTCCATCTTGCTCATGTCCATGGAGGGTCGCCCACTGGAAGAGAATACAGTTACTTGAAGGCCTTGGTGTGGATCACAATAATGCAAACATGCATCGTGATTCATTACAGTTTGAGTCACATATTCTCTGGTTGTTCATACCAACAATTCCATGAGCAGTCCATGGAGCTGATATCAAACAATGTCTCAGATAAATGAGGTGGATGTGAAATTTGGTTTGGTGGCAGATTGTCTGTCGTACCACAATGTCTTAGACAACAAATGGTGGTGTTGTGGACATTCAAGCTTCAGGCCCTGAATCCCATGTCAGCCTCCCGTTCCCGTCCTGTGGAGTCACACCTGAGCAGGCTATGGACAAACTCAGTGGCTCAGAATTTGTCACAAGTTTAGCTCAGAAACTTTTTATGCACATTTTCAAAGCAAACCACTTGCATGCTGCCTTTATATATTTTTTTCACCACCTTAGAGGCACAGACTGGTGGTGTAGACCATTTGGTCTTACTTTTCGGAAACACAAACTGGCATGAAATTAAGACACACAACCTTTAAATGTCCAGTAAAGAACATTGATTGGAACAGGCATCTCTCTCATCTCCGGTTAACACGATTAGGAGCCACTCTGAAGAACTGATGGTGTGTTTATGATTTGAACAGGATTTATTAGGCCACGGGTTATTGGTGTGATCAACACGAGCACGCCAGATGATTAATAATCAATTCAGCTCCATCTCGGCACTAATGTGGCGTAATGGGAGACTTTGCAGAGCTCAGGAGATATTAGTTTTGACATATCATTTCTATACATTTCCATTTTTCCCGTAGCCTCCTGTGGGTGTGAGGGAGAGTCGGAGCATTAACCACACTCAGCCCAACAGGCATTTCTTCTCCTGCATCCAGCATTTGCATTTCACACAGATGCCTGCAGACACAGTTACATTAGCAGCAACAATACAAGGTGTCAGCGGTGAAGTCCAGTTATTACTGCAGGCTAGAATTAGTCAATCTTATTCCCTGACTCCTTTCTTTCTTTGTTTATGCTGCTCGAATGTCTTCTAATACAGGAGTGATGTTTGCCAACAAAAACAGTCTCCTGATTATAGGTGTCAGTAGTTAGAACCCTTTATTCTGATCGGTTTGAAAACATGACGATTTTCTGCTTTTCCCAGTTGACATTTTGCTATTTTAGAAGATGATATCAAATGTCAAAAACTGGTAAGATTCTATTCTGTCAGCCTTTCTTGAATAAATTAGCCTTTTTGTAAAATAATGAGTTTAGATTGTTCACACAGCTCTATTAAACAGATTAGGTATTTTTTCTCCTGCTGTAATTACATTTTGTCTCCATTTCAGTTTTATCCCAGCAATAAATCAAAAGCACATTTGCGCTGAAGAGCAGGCCGATGCTATCTGTGTCAGCAGGTACATACTGCCCCCTGTTGATCACAGGAAAGAGCTGCAACCAGCTCAGAGACAGTCGTCATAAAACTCCCTGCTATCCTTGTAGGGCCCAGAAATCTGTCTCTGTGTTTTAGTGTTAAAATGAGGGATAATTCAACGTAAATGGAGAGATAAAATAAGTCAAGAGCTTCGAAATAAATGACTGTGAATATGCAGCGGTGTGACTGAGGCCCTGGAAAGCTGCACATATCAGTGTTTTGTATGAACAAGGGGAAGTGTGTTTGAAGTTAAAAGGAATCACAAAGTATTTTAGAACTTTTCAGATCACTGGTTGTTGGTTTTTGATTTGTTTTGATCCAGTGTTAGAATTACACCCATTTTGTTAGCATATAATCGAACACAGAATGACCACCCCTGCCTGATGTGCCAAAAAAACAGCTCTGATCTGTCGAGGTATCAACTCTATCACACCTCTGGAGATGGTATGAGGTGCCAAAACGCTAGCAGCAGATCCTTTAAGTCGTGGAAGTTTAGAGTTGGAGCTGCCAGGGATCAGAATTGTTCCGAAACATGTTTCAGCTGGCTGCAGGGTGGAGCAGTTGGTAGCACTGTTGCCTCGCAGCAAGAAGGTCGCCGGTTCGCATCCCGGTGGGAGCACCGGAATCTTTCTGCATGGAGTCTCCATGTTCTCCCCGTGCAGCGTGGGTTCTACCCGGGTTCTCCAGCTTCCTCCCACACAGTCCAAAAACATGTTGAGGTTAATTGGTGATTCTAAATTGTCCGTAGGTGTGAATGTGAGTGTGCTTGGTTGTCTGTCTCTAAGTGTAGCCCTGTGATAGACTGGCGACCTGTCCAGGGTGTCCCCTGCCTTCACCCTGAGTCAGCTGGGATAGACTCCAGCCCCCCGCGACCCTAGTGAGGATTAAGCGGTGTGTAGATAATGCTGTTTGGTCATAAAGATTTGGCTCAATTTTTCTTGCATCCACACATCATGGTCACTTACCATCTACTGTCACAGACCTTGGTATGCAATGCGATAATCAACAACATGTGCTTCTTGAAGAACAAAATAGTGAGAAGAGCAGTAATGTTGGTAGTTTTATTGTGAAGGAAAATACAAAATAAGATGCTTTTCAAGAATACTTTACCCATTTTGTAATGAAAGAATGAAAAATACTTTATTCATCCCAGAAGGGAAATTCAATAATGTGGGGGATGATTTTGTTTCCGTTTATACATGCCATCATCATAATCTCCTCCCAGTCTAAACATTGTTCTTTGCTGCCAATACTATGAATTTTGACTACAAGTTCAAACAGGAACGACAAACGGGGATTTATTGTGAGCTTTTCATACCGTAGACTGTTATTCATAGGTCAGATATTTTTTTGTTTATCCTCATAAGATTTCTTGGGGTTTAGCAGATGCTTAGAATTGCATTTTGTCAAGTTCTGCATGTGTGTGTTTTTATTTTGAAGTGGCACGTATCATGTGACTTGTATCACATGACTGCTGAATGAATTTTAAATGCAACACCTGTTTCCATTGAACTCAACACCCCGAGGACTCCAGGAGTGAAACTAGTTGCTTTACTCATGTATTAATGAAGGATTTTTACACTGATAGTGCCTCAGAAGCACTTTGATCAATATTAAGAACTTCAAAATGATAAGAAGTGTTGTTATTTTTTCATCTTTACTGAAAA